TAGTTTTCAGAGGACACAACATCTTTGTTGGTATGTGGTGCTGAGGATCGAACCCGGGCCGCACGCATGCCAGGCAAGCGCGCTACCGCTTGAGCCACATCCCCAGCCTTATGCATGTGAGACAAGCACTCAACCAACTGAGCTATATCTTCAGCCCAACAAATTTGAATAATCTTATCAAATATGAATATATTCAATTTCCAATAACTTTATTTATAAAAACAATAGTTTGGAATATTTTTCTAAAACAAAAGAACTGGTTGACACTTCTTCCTAGGGTAACAATTTATCTTCTGGAATCCCTCTAAGATTTCATTTTCCTACCTGTTAGTTAAATATCTGTCTATAACCATGTACTTCCTAAATCTGAGTAAATTTCCATCATGGGAGTTAAATCATTTGTAAGTCACCCATGCAATACGTCAAGGTTGCAGGTTCTAAAGGTATCCATAAAACATTTCATTCAAAAACTGTTTCCTTGACATTTGACTAAATCCCTGCACGACTTATTCTTATTCATCGATTTATCATGCTTCCCTTGTTTGTCAACTGTGCTATTGTGATCATCAGCCACAAAGCATATGTTGAGTGTTTTTTCCTCTTTACCCTCTGAATCGTGAAAACTCAGCCCACAAGGCAGTCTGTTTTTAATTAAAGGTCATGATTTTCAGAGGTCATGTTGACACATTCTCCTGTTAATGAACTTAATGAGATCGAACACTCCATCTCTAAACAGTACTTTCTGCTCTCTGGCCACTTTCTGGAGATAACTTTAATTTTTGGTTAGATACAAATGAGTGTTTACCTTCCTGCTGTGTTTCCAGGCCTATGATTTATGGGGATGGCTTTATATATAGTAAGAACCATGTGCATACTGGTGCCAAATACCAAATGGATGAGAAACTTCTCAAAGAGTTGGTCTGGGTGACAAAATAACTCTACAGCAATTCATTGCTCTTTTATAAACATTGTCTAGAGTCCAAACAAAGAGTACAATTTTTTTTTTTTTAAGTCTGGAAAGAAAATGATCAACTCGTAATATTCTGCTGAAGAACAATGAGTAAGTTAAAAAGAAAAAAAAAAATTCCCAAGCTTGTCCATGCATTAGAGTCACCAAGAAATCTTTAAAAAATTCTCATCCCCAGGGCATAGTACATTTGTTTTCCAGGTGATTCCAATGTGTAGAAAAGTTTGAGAACCATTGATTTAAAGTTTAAAAATAATAGTAAAATTCTGGTTGGTAGAAACAGTGGTCTTTTTTTTTTTTTTTTCCAGACCAGTCCCCATATAGGTGACAATCATAAACTATGAACAAAAACATTTAACAAATAAAAAGCTACTGAAGGTATAAAAAATAACAAAAAGCTATAAAAAGCTATGTGAAGCCCCGAGAGTGATCAAAAGTAGGCAGACTATAGGATTGTCTCCCCTTAAGAGAAAGGAACTTTTAAGATGTAGAAGTTTCTGGTTTTATGCCTGAATACTCATTCTTCAGGTGCCCAGGGGTGGGTGACGGCTGCAGACTTAGTGTCCTGAGACATCATGGACAGAATTGGGATGGGCAGAGTAGAAAATTTAGCAGTTAGTTAGGAGAGGTATTCTTGAAAGGAGAGCTACAAGAGCAAATCTCAAATTCTGAATCTTTGTTCAAAGCCTTGGTTGACTTGTGCAAGGGGGACCCTGGTGGCTGAAGGACTGATCAGAATTCAGCTACTATCCAAGACAGAGGAGACAGGGTGAATTTGCAATCCAGCCAAAAGAACCACCTGAAGACAAAAACAAACTCTTCAAAGAAGGTAGCAGAATCAATTTCTTATTCATGTACCATTCATCAGGTTCAGTATATAATAAAAATAAAACCACAGGACCAAAAATAACATCCTCCCTGCTAAAGTGAAAGTCAGTTAACAGAAACTGACTGATTATGATGTTACAATTAGCAGACAAGTGCTTTGAGGAAGCTATTATTATAAATAGCTTATATGGTAATGGACTCATAATTCATAAGCAAATGAGACATCAAAGCACAAAAGTAGTAATGAAAAAAACAAAAACCCCAAATGGTGAAGCCTGGCACAGTGACCCACTCTTGAGATTGAGACAGGAGCCTCAGCAACACCAAGGAGCTAAGCAACTCGGTGAGACCCTGTATCTAAATAAAATACAAAAAATAGGGCTGGGGACGTGGCTCAGTGACCGAGTGGCCCTGAGTTCAATCCCCGGTACCAAAAAAAAAAAAAAAAAAAATCAAAGTGCCTAAACACATAGTAAAAGGCAGAGATCATTAGACTAGATAAGTCAGACCCACCTGTATGTTCTCTGAGATGGTTTTTAAACACAAATAAGTTAAAAGTTAAAGAATGAGTAAATATGTACCAAGTAAATAATAAGCATAAAAACCATTTTCTATTGGCTTTGATATGAATAGCTTTCATGTTTACCTTTTCAATTGTATTTACCTGTTCTAAAAACACAGGCAATTTAGAGACTTTTTTTTTTTTTTCCCAAGCCTTTGGGTTTCAATGACCTTGGGGGATCAAACCCAAGGCAGGCTGGGCAAGCACTTTACTACCAAGCTCCTTCCCTAGTTCTTTTCAAAGACTCTTCTCCCTTTTAGTGTGTGTGATTAATCAGAACACCTTAACATAAAGCTTTCAGAATTTGCTGTTCTCCCTTACCTATGCTACAGCAAAATGTGTGGCTTTTGATCCAGCTATTGGAGCAAGCAATAATTTTAATCACTTTTATTTCATTTGTATTATATTAATGTGTTTTGTTTCTTTTATGTATCAGCATTATATTTTAGTTCATCTATTTCTATGACTCTCTGAGGCAGGGCCAGCCCCCTCCTAAGTGCCTTCACACAGCACCTGGCTGGACTACCACATCTTTTTCTCACTTCATTTTCTTATATCACTTGGTTATCATTATCAGTTTCTGTCTTTCCCTTTTGGGGGGAAAAAGTCTATCTCTTTCTACAGGAGGGATTTTCTATAACAGAGTTTCAAAACTAGACCAACTTCAATGTGGAAGAATGTTTCTATACTCCACAATCCTGACGCCATAATGCTCCCCCTAACTTAAGACAATTCATAGCTGGGCCAGTGCTGGAAAGAACATGACTAGACCAACAAAGAAACTTCATGCTAAGCATGACGATAATAAGAATGGTTTTGTGGCATGCGACAAGTGAAAGGAACACTACAAATTCCCTTCTGGCTATCTGGGCTTTGTAAGTAATTGTCTAGTCCAACAAACTCTACTTGTACACAGCACCATTTTTTCAAAAACTTGTGTCCTTGCAAAATGTTTACCTATTAAAATAACCAAACCACCATAGACAGAACCTCATCCATTAGTTCGTCAGTTTAGAGACTGCTTTAAACATATTTTAAAAGGTAATTTCTCTATAAATTAATGTTATATTTGAATGCAAAGACCTTGCCCAACTGTACCACTGAGCACAGCTTATTTTAAAGGATAATGTGGAAGAGGGACAACACTAAGAAATGGCTTGTGCTATTTACTTCTGAAAACTGAAGCCATAACTAGTTGCTTCCCCCAGCTTGGCCAGGTTTTAAAAAAATACAGGACAGATCACAGGAAGGATTTAGCAATTAGCTCGGTGCTCATTAAATGATTCATTTCGATTTGCCATTCAGCTCTAAGAAAAGATTTAAGGGCCTGCTATGCCTCCTATCAAGAGTAAATATCACACATCCTGTTTATACATATTGGCTTGTTGTCCACAGCTCTTCAAAGAGTCAGTGACACCCCCCTAACTCACACTCAGCCCCACCCCCAACTTCCTGCTCACTGGGGTATTGCATTCCTATCACTACTTAAGAGGTGCCTCCTGCAACAAAATACTCTGTATTACGACAACTTTTAAAGAAAATACTTTATTACGTCATGAAAAAAGGCATCGATCAACTAGATTCATACTTGTTTGAAAAAAAAATGAAAATTTTATTAATTAGACAGTATGTGGGCATCCTGTTCCACATGGGAATGAAAAGATGCTATAGGTTCTCAAAAGTATTGCACAGTCTGAAAAAAACACCAACAAAAAATAGGGGAAGGGGTGGGGAAAAAAAAAAATCACATGATATTGGGAGCCATCTCACATTATGAATAATCTACCAAGAAACATTTTAAAAAGAAAACCCTTTGTTTCTACAGTAGCTTTGAGTTTCTAGTTCTTGGAATGACTGTATTCCATTGAAGACATCTCAGTAACAGGAAGCTTCATTTTAGCAATCCCATGTGCAAATATTAATAAAAAAATATATAAAATAACGCAATTCATCTCTTGCCATCACCACCCCCCTTGGCAATCATGACATTTTCGAGAACTGTTTTGCTTGACAGAGGGGTTAAGCTGTAAGTTTGGCCTGAAGCTCCATCTCTGCAGCCCGTTTGAGTGCAACATCCACTAGAAGCTGAAATCCACTAAAATCCTGGTTGAGGTCCGGTGGAGTAGGGGGAGGAGTGTTGAAAAGACCGCTCTGAGTATTTGTACTCGGTCCAGACTTACATGTGTCCTCCGGATACACGAGAGAGGTGTCTGTAAAGTTGCTGGCTGCCATTTGCTGTATATCTGTGGTTTGTCCCACACCAACCGACTGGCAGAGAGGGAAAGGCACATCTTTCAATGCAGTCACAGTGGTATGGCAGATCACTGATGGACGAGCCAAAATTGATCCCGGGGATGCTGGCTTGGGAGACAGAGGCCTCCCTAGGGTTGGGTTTGGTCCAGCTGTGCAGGAATGAAACGGGCTCTCCTCTAGAGGTGGCATGAAGTTTTTGATACCTATGGCAGCCTCCATAGAGCTAGCTTCAGAAACCTTGGCCCCACGGCGGGAAATTGTGAACTGATTTGGATCTTTGCCATCCTTTCTCAGCATGTCAGGGAGAAGCCTGCGTCGGGCGTTGATGAACCAGTTACAGACCTGAAATCATATTGGTACACTTTGAAAACAGGTTCTAGGGGTGCCTAGCTGACCCCTGTTCTTTGGATGAAAGAAGGCATCGAACGGCTTATTTGGACTCGCCAGTTATTTCAAGGTATTTGAACCCAGCCAAGAAAAAGAGCCACCTCCTGTCATAAATCTCCTTCTGCTTTGAATACACATTTGCTTTGGGGACTTGTTATCTTTCAATCTCTTTAGGAGAGAGAAAAGATATAAATTCCCAAATACCTGAAAATGATTTTAGGGAGGAAGCTTTACCTTTAACTCTCCCCTGTTTAACCTATTACCTACTGCCCCAACACTTGAGTTAATCAACTACAGGAAAACCTTTCCTGTATGAGAAGTGCCACACCTCCCCAGTAACTGATTTTTCCCAGTTCAAATGACTATGTCAACAGACATAACATGAATTACCTCACTGAAGTCTGTCCTTGTTTAAATATCAAACCAGTTTCCTGGGCAATAGAGTAAGGTTTAACCTTCTTTTTATGTTTGAAGGCTCTTTTAGGCATTAAAGGAAATGCTATCTGACAGATGACTGTCAAGTGTTTCTGTGTTCTCTAAATAGCCAACTATTAGCTTTTAGCGCTATAACGTTTCCAATAAAAAGATATTTCTTCTTTTTCTTTTTTTTTTTAAGTGGGGAGGAGCTGAATGACTCTACGCGCAGGAATGCTTTGAAATGACTTTGAAAATGAAAATTCATGCGTGAGGGCCTCAGAGGCAGAGTAGCATACACTAGACCCTGGGTTCAACCCCTCAGCATTGGAAAAAAAAAAAAAAAAAAGAGTGCAATAACCTTGTGCTCTCTTTCCTTACCTGTAGTGTGGACAGGTGAGTTTGCTGGGACAGTAATGCTTTTTCTTGCTCTGAGGGATAAGCGTTGTACCGGTGCTCATACAGCCAATCCCGCAGAATCTGAACAGACTCCTTGGGTAGGTTACCCCTTCTCCGTCTCTTGCTTGAGCCAGCTGAAGAGGAAAGGTCCAGGGGTATGTCCATGCTGTCCTCATCCTCAGTCTCACTGCCAGATGCTGCAACAACACCTAGAAAAGCACAAAGGCCAGCTGTCACTTGCTTTTTATCAGCAGGGCAACTATCGCAGAGCTCATCGATTCTGACCAGTCAGTGTAATTGTATTTTTTTCAACCACTGAAAACGAAGCGAAAGACCTGTGCTTTCTGCTCTGAATTACCAGGGTACCTGTAAAAGTCCTCAAGAATAATTTGACTACCTGCACAAGGTAGATTCTCAACCACCAGATACCTTTTCTTAGGCACGGTCCTCTAGGATTTAACTTCTCACATTCTTTTTTGAATGATGTTCAGAAGTCTTTTGTTCAATCCATTGGGAGAGACAAACTGAATAATTTGCCCCATTTGAAACAAGAAGGGTGCTGGGCAGTGGGGTGTGTGTTTAACAAGCTTCTGTTAAAGGTCATTCCTAACTAGAAATAAAAGGCTAATGAATATGCTAATTTACATCTTAAGTGTTAATCTTCCTCTTTCCATTAAAGGTTTGAAGTAAAAGAGAATTGCTATTTTTCCCCCCACTGATATAAGGAGGACAAATTACCTAGCTAGTACTATAAAATACTTGTTAAAAATTTCTAATTCCATGATCATTTCTTATTCATCACGACCTATATTTATGCAGGATTGGAACACCTACTTTCAATGGTCACTTCATGAACTACAACCACTAGTTTTCAGTTTTATTACATAAAAGTATTTCTCTACTATTAGTACTCCAGGAAGACTTCAAAAGATGCCTGAAACGGAATTAACTTAAAACACTGCATAAATTTCAACTGCTAGTTTAATATGAACCTGCAATATTACATATCGATTAGCAGGGTTCAGTACTTAAAATTCTTACATGACAAAGAAAATTAAGTATGCAACCCCCAAGGAAGCTCCTTCTGTTTTAAGTACTTTAATCCTACCAGAAATTTTAAGAATTCACAAACCATACAGAATATTTAAATCAGATACACAGAATTCAATAAAAATTCAGACCGGCCCAACTGTTAAATATCATTTTTAATTAAAAGAATTTAAATAACAAATGCTATGAATCTCACCTTTCAAAACTATAACTGGTAACTGTAAACGTCTAGAGAAATATTCTTTGTTGGGGGAAGACAATCCAAAATTTTAAAAGTATACATGAATTACAAACTATAAACATGCTTGAAAATATCAGTGTTTCTGTATTAGAGATTAATTTTTAAAGATATTGCATTTTTAGCTTCATGTAGATATATATATATGTAGATATGTTTTTCTTCTGTAACTTTGGTTGAACAAAAGACCCAATTTTAACTGAGTACTAGAAAATAAAAACAAAATGTTCTTCACAGTGATATACCATATAATGTATTTTTAAGGAACTTTTAAAAAATACACCAACTGATTGGCTTTACTTGGTGACACATTTAGTTTTGGACTGCAGGGGGCAGAAGGTGCTGGAGGACGTTCCTACAGGAAAAGCAAATGCTCCAAAGACAAAGTAAAGCAAGTTCTTGTTTAACAAAAGAGATGAATGATTTTGCAAATTCACTGTAGCTCAAGGATTAACAGTACCCAAGAATCCTAAGTTTTAACTGCTATGTGTTTGAATTTCCCCTTCCCTAAAGATTTAATTAAACTGTTTCTTTTTTAAAGTTTAAAGAAAGGGCATATTGAAAACTGAAACTGCTTTCACTGCTGAGAAGTTGAGAAACTTTCAAAACCCATACTGAAATTTGTGTGAACTATTAATAAAATACCATGAGATTATAAATGATTTCCTGTTTCACATTTGCCTTGATAACTAAGGAAATCACTTCTAAACACGTGTCAAGTTAATTGAATAACTAAAGCAAATTTGAATAAGGCAATTTGTTTAAACTCTCCAACGTCTGAAAGCTTCAAGGCTTTTAATTTCCCTCTTCCTTTTTTTAATCTGGAAAAAAAGTGTGGAAAATCGCTCATTGAACAGTGAATTCCCAACTGTAAATTGGTAATAACAAAGAGTTTGAAACAAGCAAGTAAACAACAACAACGGAAAAGAATAAAAAGCTCAAGAGTGTCCTTTGATCTGCTTGCTTCATTTGACAAGAAGCTTGATCTTTTCCAATAGGTTAGTGACATACAAAAGCAGGTTTCACTTAAGCAACACCAAACTAAGGAAAGACTTCACTCTGTTCTCAGTTCATTTGGGGGTGGGGGGATGAATGCCAGGCCTCTGGATTTCTTAACAAATATTTTCAATATGTGCACAAAAGCTGAAGTAACAGGAAGTTAAAGCCTTCAGTGCCTTGGCTTGGGCCAGCTGATATTTCACTGCAGCTAAACCACGTTTATTGCTGTCAGGACTGTTTTCATTAAAACTCTCCCTCCTGATTGTGGCTCAACTTGGAAAAACAAAGACTTTTCCTCGTTACTCATTTCCTACTGTAACAGAGCTTTTGAAAAGTTTCCCGGTTACGATTTGTTTCCAAATCGTCTTGCTTTGCTTACACTTTAAAAATTGTGGTGTAGGAGGGGGGCAGTGGTGGGTGGGGAGAGAGGAATCAAAAGCCTTTTTACTCTATCCACATACAAGGAAATGCTGTTTAGAAAGCCACAAGATGGCTCGTGGATCCCACGGCTCTGAGAAGCAATCTTGCTTCTCTGCACTTTCTTTTTCTGAATAGCTCTGAAACATCAAGGGGGAGGGGGACTGAGAAGGTGGTGGTGAAGTTGGATTTTTAAAAAATGTTAAGAATCTAGTAATAAGAGTAAAGGAAAGTTTAATAATTAGGTAAAGGCAAATCTAACCTAACTAACGAGTCTCCTGATCAGAATACCTCCCCTCTGGAGAGGCAAACAGGAATCCAATTTAACACCCAAGTTACTAAATCCACTGTGCGCGCTTGGCCGCCCGCAAAGAGCGATCCTAAAGCAACGTGATCAGGAACTGGGACCAAAAAGACCGGGAGCATTTTCCTTGTCAAACCTTCCTTCTGTCTGTTTTTAAACCACTTTAGGTGATCTTTGGGGGCCGTCTTCTGTTTTCTAAGAGGACACATTATCATCCCACGCTGGTTTACCAAAACCCGTACCCTGAAACTGAATTGAAAGTGCCTTTGTCGTAAGGAAACTTGAAAACATGCTCAGACTTTTCTGTAGACAGACAATAGGCCGAGACTGACTTCTGGGAGCCCCACCGGAGCCGACAGGCAAGACTCCCTTTCAGCCCCAGGTAATCTTGGACAGGAGGAGGCAGGACCCGGAGGCTCGCGGGGGAGAGGGAGGAGCCCGGAGAAGAGCAAGCCGCTTTTGTTCGGCTCCAACTGAAAACCGCCTGCAAACTGTTTGAGTTAGCACGAGCAGAGGACCTCTGGGGCTTCGGGTCACTAGAGAACTAAAAATGGGGTCGTAGATCCCACATCCTCAAGGTGCCGGTCCCCGATCCCGGACGATTTGTCAGGGAAACCTAAAAAAGGGAAAGAAAACCCCGGCAACCTCAGCAGTCTCTGCTACCCTTCAGGGAGCCCAGAAGCAATCGCAGCAAAGTTTCCTCTCCAACACGTCACCTTTCATTGTTTCCATGAGTCGGCGCAGAGTAGCAGATCCTCGGTGCGCCCGGGGCTGGGGACCACGGATTCCCCCACCCACCCTGCCAGGGTCCCCCGGAATACCCAAGAGGGCTGGGGGATGGGGGACGTCGGGGGTGCCTGAGCCGGGAGGGTAATCGCAGCGGCCCCCGCCAGAGCTCAAACAATGGGGAGGGGGCCGGCGGAAGCCCAGTTTTGCATTCGGCGCACTCGAACCACTCAAACCCAGAACCCCCTCTCCCCACACCTTATGCTGGCAAGTCCTATCAGAACCCAGAGCGCCTCCTATTAAGAGTGTAGATCTGTCAGCCCAGTATCAAGGATGACACGGCTTTGCAGAGACACCCGGACGTTCCCCCGCGCGTTTTCTCAGCACCAAGTTAAACGTCCCCAACTGTAAACGCCCACGTTCTCACTGTCCTGCGGGGAGGGGTCCGCAGGGAGTTCTACTACCAAGTGGCACGTTTAATGTTACTCTCACTGGGGAAGCCTGGAGGCGGGGGGGGGGACAGGGAAGTTCCGCGTGCCTGAGTCTCCCACAGAATCACATCAACAGAACTCTAAGGTAAAAACACAGCCGAAGGAACCCTACGGGGAGTGCGGCTGCCCCTTCCGAATCTCGTTCCGTTGGAATTGCAGTTGCAGTCCCTTTCTGAAAGAATGTGGAGTTACCAACTCGAGGAAGCTCCTGAGCATGCGCAGCAGCGCCCCCCGCCCCCGATCCTTGGCTTCCCCGAGCGATTAACTTCTGTTTTGAACCACTCCACATAAATCACAACAGAAAAGCCAACTCTAGTCCACGACGGAACACTCAGGGGACCTCCCAGCGAGGGACTCAAAAGTTAACTTCAAAAGAGACTTTACAGTCTTTGACCTTTCAGGTGTTTTTTCCCCCCTGTGTATTTTGTTTTTAAACCAGACTGACGGCAAGTTTTAGTTGTAAACCGTCCAGAACGCTTCGTGGAAACAATGACAGCCTCGCTCTTTGCACTTACAACCAAGCCTGCTTGTCACACTTGGACACATTTTGACTGCATGCAGCTTTAAGCAGCTTGCCCTGTGTCCAACTCCTCATCTTGCCCCAAATCCATCGTGGGAAAACTTAAAAAGCTGGAAATTTTTTAGAAGTCTAGCTTTCCAAAGCCATGTACGCCCAAGGGCGATGTGGGGGTCCGGAATCACATTCCTTTGATTGTGAAGAACATCTCATCCCTCAAAAAGGGTACCAGGGCCCACTGGGGCGTGGGGGCCCCCGGAACCGAACTTTCACACAAAGGCACCTCGGCCTCGGTAGCTCCGGATCCGGGCCAGGAAAACCTAGGTGGGGTCCCCCGAAACCGACCCCACACCCGCCGTCCGCCAGACAGAGCTAGCAGCCACGCGGCGGCTGGGCCAAGCGTGGGGTGTTGGTGGAGACAATGAAACTTGGAGGCGCACAAACAAGGCGCTGAGCGTTGATTCTTGACAACGTGCCAGCAGCGTGGAGAGGCTCGGCTCCCCACAACAGCCCTTCGTGTTGTGTCTAGAAGGAAAACAGCAACTGCCGTTCCAGACACAGCCTCAACAAAGAGAACGGCCGCCGCTCCAGCCCTAGAGCCCCTGGGCAGAAAAGTCCACCAAGTCACTTTCGCCCCCAGTCTAGCGCAGCGCGGCCCGGCCCGCGTGTTTCTCTGGGACTCGCAGCCCCGGTGCGCACAGCCCGCGGCCGCCTTACCTTTCTTGCTCTTCATTCTGGAACTCCCCTCCCAGCGAAAGGCAATGCTGGGGTCTCGAGGGGCCAGGAGCCAGGACACAGCGGGCAAGCGGTCGTCCTCCTTCACTGCAGACTCTCCAGCAACTTATAGGACGTGCTCCAGCCGTTATTGCTAAACAAGGCGCTTGGATCCCAGGCGCCTGCTCCTTGGGTGGAATTCAAGTGACACTTGGGCTTCCTCCTGCCGGGATCTTCTGGCAGCCGGCCGGGGGCTCTCCCTCACCCAACTCGCTCCCCTCCCCACTCCACTCCTTTGTTCCCGGCTCCTGCGCGGCGCACCTCGGCGCTGTCAGAGTGAGAGGCAAGGAGGGAAGGTACAGGAGGTCCTGCCTCCGCCCCCAGCCGCCCACCCCGTCCCCCGCCCGTCCCACCGCGCCTCCGCCCCTCCCCCGCACCTTTCAGCGGGGGTGGACTGGACCGAGCGGCGCGGCCGCTCTGACCTGGCCACTGTCACCCGTCCCTCACAGGGGTGGAGGACCCTAGAAACACTATCACGCCTGCCTGCTGCGCGTGCACCGCCCGCATCCCTCGCCCGGCGGCGAAGACACCAGCTGAGCGTTCCGGGTTTTTCCTTTGGGCCTTTCTTCCTGAGGCTGGCGAGAGTGCGTTGGGTTAGGAAATTGCAACAGATGGGAAAAAGGACGCCCCCTTCTTCCCCTCCTCCACCCCAGGGAAGAAAAGACTCGCCCTCTTGTTTTTGACAGCTGCCCCAAACTCCTCAGTCCCTGCTTGAGCCGCACAAGACAGCCGCTTCTGATTCAAGGGGCGGGGCACAAGAGGAAAAGTATTCGGGACAAGAACCAACTTCTTCCAGAATGCACGGCTGCCATTGACACGCGGGCGCGGCGCGGCGCACCCTTCTCCTCCCGGCGCTCTTCCTCCAACAACTGGCAATGGGAGGTGGGGGGGTGGGGTGTGGATGAGACAGAAACCCTAGGCGAATGTCTGTTCCCCCGGGCTAAAGCTGTGAGTTCCGGATTGGATTGCAAGGCAGTTTCGAAATCTAACACGTTGCGAATAGACACTTGTCATGCTCACATGCTCTTTAAACGTCTCTGTCTGGGGACTGCCCGGGCGCGCGCCCGCCCGGCTGCTACTCGGCCCGACCCCTCCACCCCCGGACCCCGGCAGCAGCCGCCTTTATAGCAAATAGGCGACCACGCCGTGACTGCTCATCCGTTTTGGTAAACAGTGTCTACTTTTAGGACTTAAATCCCGCTAGGGGACCCCTCCTCCCCTTCTGTATTTCAAACAGAAACTAGCCATTAAGTAAACACATGTTCCTGTGGGTTTATTTTGGTTGAGTTACGAGGACTCCAACAGGAGTTCCTTGATGAAATTCCCCTTTTAAAAGACCAGATGCTGTTTGGCTGATTTCTAGACACGCATGACCTCTCCTCTGGGTCTAGTTTTTTTTTTTTTTTCGCGTGGGTATGTCCCGTTGTTCTGAAGCAAAGCAAATGAACTGTCATACACCACGGTTAGACTTTCTCCATCACTGAAAAAGAAAAAAAAAAACCCTAAACGCAAATAAGCCTAGTAAAAGACGTCAGCGCCTGGGTCGGTCTCCAGTTTCGGCTCTGTGGCTGTTTTTGTTTTGTAACCTCGTTGGAGATCCCGGTAGGAGAAAGCTCCGTGGAAATAAGGTTAAACCCGAGAAGGACTAAAGCAGCCAAAGAATGACTAAACTAGACTTTGGAGACTGTTTTAGGATTACGCTGAAAATTAAAGCCAGCCTCCTCTGCGCCCCCTTCCGAAAGACACCCCCGCCCCGAGAGTGCGTTAAGGCCAGGGTTTAAAAACTTGGGTGGTTTTTCCAATTACAGGACTTAAAATGAATCAACAAGGAAAAAAGCGTCACTATAAGAAGGCAGCAACCTTACGATTTTTTTTTTTTTTCTTCTGTGGTTTGCCGACTGCTCGGCCCAGAAGAGAACACACATCTAAAAGCACGGGAAGCAGCCAGAGGAGGGAGGACAGGGTCCTGGGGAGAAACCACCAGCCTGGAGCTAGCTTGCAACTGCCTGGAGCCGAGTTCCTTCGCCGGGCCTGGCTGCAGATGAATCAGCTGCTGCGCCCGAGTGCAGGACAGATGTGGCGCGGGGAGGGGGCCGGCTTGCCCGGCGCCCGTTAGAGGGCCGCCTAGTTATTTCATTTGAAGGGTTGTTTGTTGCTGGGATTGGTGGCTCATATCCGCTCGGGAACCAGGAGAGGAGGGAGGAGAGACGCAAGGAGGAGGAGCCGGGGGCCACTGCCGCAGCGACTCCGCGGCGTGAGTGGCAGGATCCAAGCCTGGGACCGGACGGTTACTGCGGAGACGCTTTGTTTGCTAACTTCCAAAGCGCCTTCGGTTGCCTCCACTCTTTCGAAGCCACTCTACAAAACAAACCTTCGGTCCGTTTAACCCTCCCCTTGCCTGCTTTCGGCAGCCAGAGACAAAAATGTTTCCTTCTTCCCGGTGGTTATCCTTGGCCACGGGGTGGCTCTCATTATGTACACAAAGGTAGCTTTACTTTGGTCTAAGTGAACTTAGCTAATTAATGCGATTCTCCAGCAACCGAGATGGAAACCTAGAGTCAAGGGAGTTTACAGCTTGAAAACAAACTTTACAGGGCAAGGGGGAGGGGTGGAGAAAAATTAAAAGCCTCTTTCAAATTATGAGGAGGAGGAAAACGTGGAGACTTAAACCAACCTTGGCTAGAAAGCCAGCTTGATCCGGTCAACGCACACCTTTTGCTCGAAGCAGTGTTTATTAAAGCTGGCGGGATGCTCCCAAAAGAATCAGGCACAATTCTATGATGCAGCTAATAGCTTGATAGCCTCCCTGGTGCATGTCACCCCACTCCACCCCCAACGCTAGTGCCAAACTTATGAAGAAAGCAACCCCCCCAAAAAAATGATCTCTGAACTCCAGCAATTGCTTTAGGATATTTTTTGTTTGCTTGCTTTTGTCAAGGTGGAAAAACAAGTTTCGGTTCTGGCTCTGTCAGTCTTTAAAGTGTCAGGGCCTCTCTGTAGAATCGATTCAGTGACTTTTAAGATTCCAATGCTTTAAAAAAAATTATGTGGACTCACATTTGCTACATATTATTTGCTGAATCCATCTGAATTTTCATTGGATTGGGAAATTGCCTGCCTGAAATTGAGACGTTGCAGGTTCTGGGGAAGGCTGCTGATAAAAAAAATTTTCACCATTTTTTTTTTTCTTTTCAGGCACACACACAGTTCCATTTGGTGTCTTATCTTTAGAAGCTGCCTCAAGGCCAAGCAAAGAACAAGAGTTGTCATTAAGTTACTTTTCACAGCTTGCAAAAACTCAGATGGAAATTTGGAAAGGCAAAGAAGCCAGAAAAGTGTATCAATGAATGCAGTTATTATTTTTGATACCAGGTCCATCAAATGATTGGAAGATATATTTATTGTATTTCTTTTTTTTTTTTTTTTTTTTTAATTCACTGACTCAACAATTGATTAGACATGATTTCCATCAGGTGCTGTGTCCTAGGTGGGGGGATGATGACTCACAGTCTTTGGATCCCTTTTGCTTCTGGTGTCTAGAAGGCAGATATTTTTATAAAATATGCAGACTCTTGGGCTCCAAACACTGCACAAGGGGCCTATAATCATCATGTCACATCTCAGGTCAGAGGGTCTTGGCTGTTTATGAAGAAGCTGACCATTGTCTTTTCAAGGGCCTGGGGCTGGGCTATGGCTCTTGTGGTGATTTTATCAACCCCAGCAGGATAATTCTCCTCCTTTTTGCTGCATGAATAATGTAACCGGTGCTACTACTTTTCTCCTACTCTTCACATCTCTTTCCAGTCCTCCTTTCTCCTCTGTTGTTACTTCTCTTTACCTTAAGTGGATTTTGAAATCCAGGAGACAGACAGCAAACTAATTTATTAAGCCCAGCATTTACCTCTTTTATTCTAAATATCTCCTATCTGCATTGTGCTTCATAAGTTTATGAAATATTTAATTTAAATGATCTTATTTCATGTAAGTTTTTTTTTTTTTCTTGAAGTCAAGATAAATAACACATTCAAAATGCAACATAGCTAAAAGGCATAACACTAACTATTGGACATACATTATCTGGCTCTAAATCAAGTGATCTCTAGGAAATCCTGTGAGGAAG